GTTTGATCCAGAGGAGCGGCAGTTGCAATGGGAGCACCTACGCGCAGCACCTTGTCATAGATTCTACAGGTCAACGCTGAAGGCTTGCGTTCACCAATATCGGTAATCTCTGCCGGAGACGAATTATTGCTTCCGCATAGATCTGTGACAAATAGATGTTTAACAATTAGATTCCAATAAGCGCCGCATAAAAAACCGTATTCTGTGAAATTCCAAGCGGTCGACCACTTGACCGGATATCATCGCTGGTGAAGCCGCCCGATATAGTAATCACACTCGCGGGCAAAACGATCGTCGTCAACAGGACAAGCTGGTAACCCAGGGTGATCAAAATCGCTGCAAGTTGAACGAGCTTCCTTCGGGTCGCCGGTATTAAGCTGCCGGCACAGACCTGATGTATGCACTTATTCGACGCGAGATCGACGGGCACGCCCCTTACGAGGGCAAACATCGGAGGCGGAATACGCTCAGTCGGCTCCGGCCGCCGCGCGAGGCCCAGTTTTCACATGGCGTGGGTTTTGTACTGGTAATCTTCGATTAGCCAGGAAAGTATCGGCTGCGGATACCGGGAAAGTGAATAAAGCAATGCAAACCAAGGGGGTACCACACAGGGATGATGCAAACCAAGGCGGTGAACCCAAAGTAAATAAGCCGCTCTCGGGCAGCCCGAGCCACAGAATCGCCTGTGAAGTCTTTGCTGATTTCGACAAGAGACGCTCCAGCGCTCTCGCCTAATAGAATGGTAAAAAGATATGGAATGATACATATCATTCGGGTTCAATGTCAGCATATTAGCCAAAATGCTGACATTGAACGCAAAATGCTGACATTGAACCCAAAAATCTTAGGCTGTTTATGTTGAATTTAAGTGCGGGGAACACACTGTAACCCGCGTTACACCGATACGGCTGTAACTTGACTGGCTGCTGCTGAGGATCCTTGAATTCTATTCCAACCGGATCCGAATCTACAGGGCGGAGCATGTCGTCGAACATGCCCCAACAGTACGCCACCATCTCACGCAACGTCCTGCAGTCTTGCTCAGACAAATCTGGGTTGTCAGTAACATTGATAATCTTCATCACGTCATCCAGCTCTTTGTCATTGCTTTCTTTACTTTCATTTTCTCAACCAGCGCTTGGTTATTCCCGAGGTCTTTGGGCTGTAACGGCTCTGGTAGACCTCGCTCGTCTCTCTTCGCATCTTTCCATGGTGGGTACTTATGATCAGTATGATCAACACCCATTTCACTATCTTCATTCGTTCGAAAGACTTCACTCTGCTCTTGTTTCTCGTTCATCCCAATGATAGCCCCATTAGCTACTGAATCCATCATAAACATAGCGAACCTTTGCGACTGCCGGTTTCGGTAATCCGAGTAATACGTGAGTGACCACATCTGACATCCAGTCCACTGACCAATTCCGCATCCGTCTCGCCTATCGAGTGAGGTTAAGATGCCCCACGTAACGTGTTCCTGATCTGGTTCCTTCGTACTGATGTGTCCGCCCACATGAATCCCTCCTGTGATGCATGTGGCTTCTCCTAAGTCATGGGTATGCTTCCGGATTCTGTGGTCGGCAGAGGCTATGGTAACGCGCACGTTTGTTAGCTTGCTACCAATAGCTCGGCCTTGATCTGCTTCCATAAAGCTATCTCGTAGAAACATCCACAGTTTTCCGATTGCCAGTTCATTCATACATGAGTATGGTACTCCCGTATTGCAGTTTATGCCCATCACAAAGGAAATACCAGCTCCATCCTCGGGGAAGCTAATACGCTTCAACCTCTGATACAGCCGTTTGTTGCTAAATATATTCTGGATCAGCAACTGATCCACTCTTCTCATCCATTTCATAGGCATGCTTTTGCCTTTAGGTTCAGTTATGACAACCGCTGATGTAGCCCTGCCACTCGACTTGGCATAGTCATATGGTGTCAATTGACTTTCTTCTACCTGTATAATCTCTTTCTTGCGTGGGAAGTGCACCGACAGATTCTTCTGCTTCTGCTGCACTACCTCACATGGCTCATTGGTGTCTTTCATCATTGCTCTTTTCCCTATCGTCACACCAGATCCACGTAACTTAAACGCTGGGGACCACGGTACGTGTCTGTCGTTTAATGGGTCCCACTCTGGGTGATATGCTTCTATCTGATCTGTTTCTTG